AACCATGTTGTTTGACTTTATCAAGCTCTCTCACATGCAGGGTCCTAACTACTTTGAGATTGATCTGGACATTCATCGCCTTAGCTACATATGAAGGAAGAGTCTCGAATTGATTTGAGTATGTCAAAAAAAAATAAAAAAAGGGAAGAGCCGTGCGGCTATACTATACTTTAAAAATATCACTATTCTGTTTATGGTGTATAGCCGAGCGGCTATACCGTTAAAATATTCTTTTGATGGCTTATAGTCGTGCGGCTATACTTTTAAAATATTCATTTTATGGAGTATTGCTGCATACTCTCTTTTAAAATATTATAATTATGGAGTATAGCTGCCCGGTAAAAATGTTTAATATTCTATTTATAGGGTATAGCCGGACGGCTATACTGTTAAAATATTCTTTTAATGGCGTATAGCCGCGCCGTTACTCTCTCTTAAAAAATTCTGTTAATGGCCTATAGCCATACGGCTATACGTTATTGTACTTAGAGTATAGCCGAATGGCTATAAAAATATTTTATTTTACGAGTATAGCCGCGCGGCTGTACGCTTTAAATATAACAATCAAAATTTGGATAAGTAGATACAAAGCGCACCTAACCTAGCAAGCTGGCCCCTAGATTTGGCCTTCTCTCAGTGGTCCATTTTAAACTAGTTGATGTATTCTCTGTGGCTCTGCTAGATTTAACTGAACTCTTTGAGATGATAAGATAGAGGGCTCTTGGAAGTGAAAGCAAAACTAGCTAGGCTGCAGTGCAGATACCCATTTGTTGCTGATGGAGGTAAGAGATAATTTATCCCATCCCATGAACAACAACTTACAAGTTTCAAGTTAGAGAAGGAGACAAATGGAACCATTTAACTCTTCTATTTGCAGCAGCATGGTGTGTTGTCTGGTCAAAATGGGGACATAAAAACACTGGTATTAGTTTTAGGAGTGCAGAGAAGAGATCACAGAAAGATGGCGTGGACTCCATATGTTTATGTAAGTGGTCACCTTCTCTCCAATTCCATTCTTCTTTTCTTGCTTGCAATTTGCGCAGCTGAGGCTTCCCTCTACTCTCTATGTTCTATGTTTATGTCCTTTCACTTTTGTCATGGTTGGTTTCAATTTCAAACAAGTTCAATGAATCCAAGCCAACAGTCACAGACTCACAGCATAACGAGGGCTAAGACTGCGCTTCTTCTTGTTTGACGTTTAAAGAGAAACACCAGAGAGACAGATAGAGACGTTTTGCCCCTTTCTTTTGGTTGGGCCGGCTACCGCCACAGGACAAGAGATTCAGCTTTGGATGCATCTCCTCCTAAATCCTAATGGGTTGTTGGGATTAATGAAGACTGCTTGTCGCTGAGCCTGTAAAATGGGTCAGGTCGGGCCAACTCGCCCCTAAGAGGTAAAAGCCCAAACCCTACCCAGTAACGGGTTGTTTCAGCCCTACAGAGTGAATGGGTCAGTTGGGCCAACCTTATGTTAAACATATTAAGCTCGGGGCCTACCCAAGGGCTAAAAAATTTCGGGCTTATGGGCTGAGCACTTGGGCTTATGTGTATTTTAACATGCTAATATAAACTATTTAATTAAAAAAACAGCTAAAAAGAACCTAGAAATGGTTAACAGGCTAATATTAATTTTTCTACCGTTGATTATGGCTTTCATTTTCTTTTGGAGAAAACATTACACATAATGCCGAAAGGAATCAAATATTGTTGGCTAATATTATTTATATTGTTACATTACATATAAATATAAATATAAATAATTAATTTATAAATTATTTAATTATAATTGGGTTGGGCCAGACTGCCCAATGGCTTAAAATCATAGCCCAAGTGTTACCTATTACATAACGGGTTGGGCAGTGTAAGCCCATAGCCAAGTAAATAAGGCCGGTTTGGTGCAAGCCAATCGACCCTGGGCTGTTTTAACAGGCCTATCTATGGTCTCTACAATTGGATTCTTAGTTTGTTGTTCAGTGGCTTTCATATACGTAGAAGTTGTTCTCATTCATTGATTTTGTTGAGGCCGAAATATAGACACAACTTCGAAGTGAGCATGCTTTCGATCCTGTGGGACCTTCAGCACATATTAATAGATATGCAGAGACGAAAGGCAACTGTAAGACCTAAGACATTGATGTGATACCAACCGAAAGTTTTCTTATGCTTGAATTAGCTTAAGGATAAAACGAGTAAGTAATTGGACTGACTAAGGGTACAAATGCCAATTTATTGATATATGATGCTTTGGGAAAAAGCCCTATTTATAAGAGCATTTCCAACAGTGGGGTTTGGGGGAGGGCTGGGGGGTTTGGGATAAAAACCCGTTTCCAGCAGTGGAGGCAGGCCCGGGCAAGATGGTGGGACCCAGCAAAACGGGCTAGCCCGAGCTCCAGCCAGGGTTGGCTCTTGCTGACGTCGTCGTGACGCCAGTGCTATAGTGTCCGTCAACAATTATGTGCCATGTGTCGTGTCCTGGGCTCTCCGATCATAATTTTTGCTCCAATCCAACGGCAGCCAATATTTTTGTAATAAAAAATTGAAAAAAATACCAAAAAATTACTTTTTTCTTCTTCTCTCTATACCTTATTTCCATTTTCAACATTTAAGTAAATGGAGTAATATAAAAATACTAGAAAATCAAATTCCCACCAAATCAAAATATGAAAAATCGGTTTTAGTGCAAAATACGATTTAGGCTAAAAATGATGGCTCATTAAGTCAATATATACTTCATATTAAAATCCCATAAAATCAAGTTTTCTTATTTAATGTATAAGGAATAAAAGCTACCAAAAATTATCTTGAGAAAATGATTATTCTGAAAAACCATTTTTCATACTTAGTCAATATTGCATCTCTGCTAAAAAAAATTCCAGGTCCGCCAGTGTCTATAAATACTAACCAATACTCTTCACTTTTAACACCAAATCCTCATACTTTTTTTTTTTCTATAAATACCAACCAATACAACTAATAAAATAAAATCTTATCCAAAAATATTATCCAATAAAATAAAATCTTGCCTTTCATTTCGTTGTGTTTTTTTGTTTTGTTTTAATAATTAGTGGTCATTCATGTATTTTATTTTATTAGTTGTATTGATTTATCTGAAATTTGAAATTTGAAATTTATATGAAATTTGAAACAAAAAATCTTTTCCGATATGAATAGTATTGATACGTAGGAACCCAAAAATCTTATCCGAAAATATTATCCAAATCAAATGTTTAAGTAAACAAAGTTGTGAAACAAAAAAATAAAAAAATGAATAGTATTTGCCATGACAAGCCTAAACTGCTGGAAACACACTTTGCTGGGGGGGTTAGGGCAGCTACTATTCACATGAATAGTAGCCGACCTAGGGCTCCCCTTGTCATGACAAGGGGCTAACTAATGGAAGTGCTCTAAAGGAGAAAAGTGGAGCACTTTAGGTTATTCTTTCGATGTGGGGCTGTGGTCATTGCTCAAGAGCATGCCATTTGTCCCCACTCAAAAGTGACGTCACAAGTACAAGTGGCTCAAAATAGTGTAAATTTGACGCATGGGCGGAACTATGCTAATGGTACAGTGGGTTGTAGCCTAGGGAGGTTTTTGGGGATAAAAAAATAAAACCAATATATTTGACTTATTTTAAATATAGCCAAGTATGTATTAACCTATTAAAGCCTAAAAAAAGTCGAATTCTTTATGAATTTAGTGGCAAGGCATCAATAAAAATATACATGAAAATATGTACACTTTCAATTATGTTGTTGAACATATTTTCATGTTGATAATATGTGTTTTTTGGTTGCATTTAATTTGTATTTGTTTTATGGTAAAACTTATGGGAAATTAGCATTTAGCCTTGCACTCGAGGAACTAGTATGGTTTATATAATTTAATGTATATCTTTATCTCTAAACAGACAATAGAAATTATAAGTACAAAACAACACACCCGTTAATAAATTTCTGGTTCTGCCATTGATTTGACAATTCTTATTGCCTACCTATGATGTTTGCGGCTACTTTTATGATTAGCTTGAGCACCAACGTCAGGTGAACACACGTCGCTTGATAAATGGGAGGATTTTGAGGTTTTCTTAGCACATATGCAAATATGGGCTGTAGTGTTGAAGAAATGCCATATGGAAGTTTCATTTGCCCCGGTTGGCTGGGCGGGTAAACAAGCATGTGTTGATGGTTTATTTCTCAGAATTATTTTCAAACCAACTAAGCTATAGTTCTTAAAGAAAAATAATGTCTAGTTGGCCCTTGGACAGTTTGTCCTAATTTGGCCATTAGAGCCGGCGAGAGGGCTAAGCCGTCCCATCTTGTGAGAGTCTTGTAGATAATGTTTTCCAAGTATGCTAGGATAATTTTTGCTTATTTTGTCAATACTATGATGCAGTTCAGTTTTTCTCTTTTCCTTATGTTATTCCATCTTATATATTACTTGGTCTTATGACCTTTCAATTTCAGAAAAGTTTGGGTGTGGATTTTGCTACGCCAATTTTCTTTTAATCAAAACCTATATGGTAAGATCCAGTGGAGTACCTACTCAAACCAAGTGATCAAATTCCAGTGGGAGTACACAAACCAATTTACGATCAACGTTTGACAATTAACACAATTATGTAACACCTAGTCCTCCAAATTAATCAAATCAAACGACCAAAAAAGAAATAGGGAATTAGGTGGTGGACTGGACTTTCTAAAAGAATAGGGAATTGGGTGGAGTTGCTATGAGACTCTCTCAATCATTTAACACGGTATTCTAAATATAAAGAAATAATTGGAGCTTCAAGATTAGCTCTTTGTCTGTTTTTGATTTGAAAATAATAAATCCAGTGAGGCTATGCAATCTTATTTGTGCTTTGAAAATATTAATTACTTTTGACATTTTGTTTTTAAGATCACTATGCAATCTTTATTTATTTATTGTAGTCCCAAATAAAAATAGACAATTAATCACTTAAACATGGACATGTGATAGTTATTTCTTGTGGTATGTGAAAAAAAAAAAAAAAACTTTTATTAATGGACTTCAACTTCTTACATATTATACCTCGGAAAAAGCAACCAATAACCCAATAAGATCAAAATGGACACTTGAAAAATAACAAACTAGGGTATTTCTTAAAAGCCCTAGTTGACCTTTCTACAATTGGTCCTAATCTGACCATTGGTGCCCGTGAGAGGGCTAAGGTTTCCCATCTTCTTCATAGCATTGGCAAAATCTGCCCTGAAAGTCCCAGTATTGCTGATGTAAGCATCGACTATGGTGTTGGTGGACCCACCACTATAGAGCTGCTGGTCTGAGTGCAACAAACCCTTCTGGCTCACCAGGTTCCTGAAGTAAGCGTTGTCGAAAGAGGTTGGGCTTGTGACATCAAGTGGGGAAAGTGTGTTGTCGCCTCCACTGCTTGGACACTGTGTTTTCACGGATGTTGCAAATGACGCGTTTATGTTGGCTTCGTTATAAAGTCGATTCCGAAATGTTGTGCACCTAGCTTGGCCAATGGTGTGAGATCCTAATCAAACAAGAAAAAAAGAACAAAGTAATTAGATATTAAACTTGTAGACGTGGTTTAAGTTAATTGGCTAGAAACTGATGATAAAAAAATAATAAAAATTGAACTTAATTTATAATGTTTAGTAATTGATTTGTAAACCTGAGAGAGCCACCATTTCCCTGGCGGTGAAGCCTTTGTTTGAGAAAGCAGAAATGAGGGCAGCCAGGTTCAATTGGGGACCAGGTATGTTGGAATTGGCAGCACTTAAGCTTGCGGTGGTTGCGTCTCTTCTGCCCAATGGCACTGTGTAGGTCGGTCCACCCAACTGATTAAACAATTTAATCAGTTAGTCCGAAAAAAGAAGAAAAAATAACAGATTATGACATAAATTATTTTGGAGCATTTTGACTTACTGCAACAATAGAGTCTCTGGCGGCAACGGTCAAGATGTCAGCACAAGAGACCACCTTGGGGCAAAGGCTCTCCAATTGGGTTTTAATGGTGTCGATGACCTCAAAACCCCTCAAAGAATTAGCATTGGGACCTGCCGTTTTCTCTCCTGTCAAACTGGCTGTGTCGTCCAACAGAACCGAAGCATCACATCCCTGTTTCATGTAAAATTCACATCTCTTAATTATTCAAACTGGTAACCAAAAAAAAAAAAAAAAAAAAAACATTTGCATGAATGATTCATAGCTCGTCACTAAATAGATTCTGCACGAAAAGCAAAAGCTAATAAGGCACGTAATTGAGCCCAAAAGTAACCCAAAATATTTTTCTTTTTGGTCGGTGAAGGATCCAATATGCTTTACGAATATAACAAGTAAGGGGTTTTCAATCAGATGGTGCTCATTCCAGCTAGCTATAGCTTTAGCAGTACTTTTTTTCATTTTTTTTTTGTCGTGTTGTTGTTTGCATAGCCTTGGGCAACACTAGGTAGTTCGAAACGCGTGCACCGCCAAGACTGAAACAAAGGGTCAAAGCAGATTGTCGTATGGTGAAATATGAATTACTTGAAAAAGAAAAAACATATAGAGAATAAAAAAATACTTTTGTGAACACAATTAGAAAGTCAAATACTTTTGAGGGTTCAAACTCTTTTGCATGACGACAAGACAAATTGCGTAAGACTTAGAATTTAAATTAATCTAAGATTATCTTTCATTATTATCTTTCATTTTAGAATTCTAGATAACAACAATAGCAAACGAAAATAACAAGATCTTAAAAAAGAAAAAAGAAAAAAAAGCTGTCTTAGTCACAGAAAATAAAAATCGAGGAGTGATTGAGAATCTAGAAATTATGGAATAAGGAGAAATTAAAGACTTGCATTAACAAAGCAATCATGGAAATGAAGACGGAGCAAGGAAGCTCCCATGCGAGCCTCTTTGGACACAGCTGAGTCCACAGCTGATTTTATGGTGGACAGGGCGTTGGGGCAAGATGTTGAATAGAAAGTAGGGGACAATTGTGCTGAAGCTACTCCAACAAGAAGCAAGAATAATGAAAATGAGATTTTAATGTTTGTGGCAGTGCATGAGCCTGCATGGTAGGAGCCCATGGCTAATGGCCTAATGGGTTCGCGAGAACTGAGAGAACAAGAAAGGAATATGCAAAAGAAGAAGGAGCCTAATGGGTTGTGCTTTAAGTGCTTGGTTTAAGGCACGATGAACTCCAATGTATTTATAGCCAGTGGATACTTGCGTTTTTGTGTAATGCTTCTAGACTTCGAGTCAACTTAAAAATAAAAGAATAATGTATATGTAAAGAAAGAACGAAACTTCGGGTGAGGCATGGTGGTCTTGGGTTGTTCACTTTGGGCGAAGTCGCAAGCACACCCCTTATCCTCGAGTTAGTATGGTCCCCCAACCACAAAAAGTGGGTAGCATATGAGAAAGAAAGAAAGACAAAAGGAAGTGAGAGTGTGGAGGCGATTTTCATCTATGGCTATGATTAATTAATCATTAGGATTATTTTAGCATTGATCTTCATATTTTTTAGAATTTTAAACAAAGAAAGACTTTTTTTTATTAAATTCGTGTGGATGCTTTATTTGTGTAAGTTTCACGGCCAATATTGTTGATATATATATAGCTATCATGGACTTAAACGCATTAGGGTTTTGTCATTTTCACGATGCTATCAACTTGAAACAGTGGATCCTATTATGGTGTTGATTAAGCGAAAAAATCTCATGCTGGTCTACAATTCTATTGTATGCGTGTGAAGTTTGGCTCGTTTTATATTTTTCCTGCTTTTTTTTCAACAGGATTCGGAACCAAAGTCAGCTATTTGCAGACAGACAAAAAGCAGCAGCACATTCGCCTTTGTGATCAATAAGGCCATAGGGACATATAGGCCACATAAGTTGCGACGATGTGATATAAAGATCTCATGCTTCTGGTTAACTTTGACTTTAGATAGCCAAAACATTTGAATACTTTGGATTTTCACTAGCTACAATATTGTTGTCTTGTGAAGATAATATATATTAGTACCTTATGAGCTTAATCGTAATTAAGGAGGAAGTAGCTCGTATGAATAAATTAACTTTGAGACTGACCGTGTTTTCAAATGAAAATTATATATGGCAATTACATATGTGAATGAATTAACTTCGAGATATATATTGCATTGTAAGGGGAGAAGCCAATCTTTAACACCAGTCCACGAAGGTGATTTTGAATAGGCTAATAATCACTTCTATAGAGAATCACTTTAAATGGTTTTAACGTAATTCTTGGGAAAAACACCTCACATGTGCTTCTCCTTAGAATCGTTTAAAATCTCTTAAAGTAATTATATCAAAAAACATATAGAAACTGCTTCTCTGCATAAGTGATTCTGACCCTTTCAGAATTATTCCGAAACAAGTTTAAAAAACAGAATAATAGGGATCAATAGACATTTTTTTATTGAGAAAGAGAATCCAATGCAGAACGAGTGCTTGTTAATTTCATTCGCTATGTGCTGACTAGATAAAGCCATTTTCCTTGGAATCAATAGTACATGCATGCACATACACCATTTACATCTTTTGTTATAATAATTATAAATAAATAAAAACAAGGTAAAGAGACATCGGGGGCCTATAGTAGTTAGCAGCTCATTGCCACCCGTATTAGTAAGTATTAAAATTTGATTAGTTTTCAAAAGTCTCATGAATAGTGAGAGGATAGTGTTAGTTTAATCACCTCTCCGATATCCAGTCAATTCAAGTTATTAAAATTTGACCAGAAGCAACTTATACATTACATTAACATCATGCACGATTCGTTTTCTCAAGGTATTTATTTGCTTTCCTAGAAAGAGAGTGCGATTATCTTTGTTATTTTCGCCTATTTGACTTCAGCTCAATTTTGACACCAAGTAAAGCGAGGAGATAATGAACACGAGCTTGCATCCATCCATGCATCCTTTGGAAATTTCTGCTCAACAGGACCAGGACAGGGACGACCCCACACGCCAATTGCTTTATGAACCACCAAGAGGCACTTGATTTTGATTAATGATTATGCTTTGTGATCAATGATTATGTTTTGCATGCATGCATGGTAATGAAAGATTAAGTATATGCGTGCTTAAGCTAATTGGCATGAAACTAAAAGCTGGCTTAATCCAAACTACTATATGTATGGGGTTTGGTAAAGATCTATCAAACACCACAAGTTTGGTATCTGTTGATTTTCCCACGTAAAACCTGCATACTGTGTTGTCTTACTACTCTTGCTGGTTGACTTGCTTTTTCAGTCTTGCTTTGCTTGGCGCTAGCTGTTTGTCCGCTCATGACCACGTATTCGATGATTACTTAATTATCCATTGATCAAGGTCGTCTTATCTCTAATCTCGATGTTTTGACAAATCAAATCTGAATTTAACAAGTTTTTTAAAAAGGCGGCAATGAATAATCAAAGTTTGAACAAGAATAACGGAGAACAAAGATACTTAAGTCCTAAGCCTAATTAACAACTGGATTGGGCCATTGCCATGGACAATATATAATACTGTTCAGACGGATTTTGGGGGTGTGAAAGTCTAACTTTTACGTGGGAAAATTCAACAGAATCCCTTTTTTCAGACTTGAGATGTGACAATCGATTTTGATTGGGTGGAGTGCCTATGAGTCTTAATCAACGCGGTATTCTAAAAGTAAATTTAGGCGAATATGGTTGGATTTGGACATGTATCACATTATTAATTTTGTTCTTTTGCCCGAGTTTTCAAATTATTGGATATGGCGAATATTAAATACAGTTGCCATCTTCTCAAACCAATTAAAATCCATGACAGTTCATGTGAGAGCAATGTGTAACAACTTCGAGATGCTAGATATCCCCAGAAGTAAACAAACCAACTAAAAAATTTGACATTTTTTGAGAGCAACGTCTAAAAACTTGCGATCAAATGATCTTTGACTGAAATGGTTCATTGCATGAGTGTCTGATTATGTACATAGCAGAAGAATGGAAACAACAACTAATAGAGAGGCTCGCCTATAAATCTATTTTTTAAGGGTAAATTACTGAATTACCCTCCGAATTTGTATATAACTATCCATTTACCTCTTGACTTTTTTTTAGTAAATTAAGGACTTGAATTAAATTTTATTATCAATGTTCCCCCACCGTCAAAATTCCCACATTTCATCCATTCATCTTCCATTTGACTCACGTTGACTCTCTTTTGAGGGTTATTGTGGTCATTCGCGTGGATTGAATTACCCAGGTGAACCTCACTTCTCATTTAGCACCTCCAAGGTTGGTCCTTCATTTGTTTCTAGCGATTTCCATCCATCTGGAGAGAGAGAGAGAGAGAGAGAGAGAGAGAGATGAGGACAAACTTACCTGGAAGCATTGATGAGTCACATAGAGGGAGTTCAGAGTTCGAAGACAGCAGTTCATGGATGTTGCCAATATGGGTCTGCTATTGTGGGAGGGTTGCAAAAATTCGGACTTATTGGACCTTTTCACATCCAGGACGAAGATTTTATCTTTGTGTGCGGGTGAGTTGAATTTTTAAGTTTGGGTTTCAAATTTGCAGTTTTGATTTTCCAAATTTTAAAACTTTGTCTTTGTGGGGGTGCGTGAGCGGAGGGGGGGGTGGGAGGGGAGGGGGGTGACCCTATTATGTGCAATAGATCTAAGCAAATAATCCCAAGACTACTGAGGAGAATTAACAAGTTGGAAGCAAAAAAAAAAAAAAAAAAAAAAACAGGGAATTCAAACATAAAAACCCCATGATTTTGGGCGTCATTGTGCATGTTTGGGGTTATTATGTGGTTGATTTTGAATGAAGACAAATGCACCAATGGGCAGCTATAGAAAGGGATGGGTAGTTGACATTTCGTAAGGGTTATAAAGGGATAGGTGCTTGCCATTTTATAAGGGTTAGAAAGGGATGGGTAATTGGCATTTTGTAATGGTTAGAAAGGGATGGGTGTTTGGGTTTTGTATTGGTAAAAAAAGGATAGGTGATTGGCAATTTGTAATGGTTAGAAAGGGTGGGTGATTGGCTTTTTGTAAGGGTAAGAAAGGGTGTGTAATTGGTGTGAAATGCCGTATTTAGTTTATAGTATTGAAAGCAGGAGGTGGCTTTAGCACATGCAAATTTCGTAAATGACTCACAAGTGGCTACCATTAATATTAAAGTAAGAAAGATATTTTGTTTCTTTAAATGTATATCTTTTCTTATTGTCATTAATTTGAAGAAGTTATCCAAAACTTGGATAACAAGTTGTTACCAGCCAATAGGTAAATATTGGATTGCCGCCACTTTTGTTGTTTAAATAGGAAACCTTCTACATTAAGGCTTGCATAACAATACATGTGAAGAGAAAAAGAAACAGAAAGAAGAAAATAGTAAGAAGGAAAGATAGTAAGATGTAAAGAGGAAGAAGTATTGGACGGAAATAGAAGACTGGGTTTGTAAATGCGGTGGAAAATTGGAAAACACCTAACATTTCTAGCAAAAGCTTTGGTGTCAAGGTAGAGGTTTCTTGGGGGCCTTTAACAAAGATTGATTTAATTAAATTTCGTAGGCATTATATTATGTATGGTATTACAGTTTGGTTGACTTTCCTTGTATTGGGTGTTTATGTATTCTTAACTATTTGAACAATGTTGGCATAATTATATATACATTTATGATGTTTTAAATGGTTACATTGTTGTGAAGGATATGTGAAATGCATAATTATATCATGCCATGGAAATTGGCTGGAATTGTTGGGTTGAGAAAATAATGATGGAAAAAAAGGGTAATGGAAATGATCTTTTGTGTAGTTGAGTCTAACTCTTGACAGGTACCAGATCTCAGGGATCCCATAATACACATGATTTTTATTAGGTGATACGGGACTGACGATAGGGAGTTAGACAAGATGACTAACAAAAGGGAATTTATGGGATGATTGAGATGGGGGTTAGTTCATATAAATGAGCATTCGAGACCAAGTGGTATAAGCATGGTATGGGACGTACAGGTCTGCTTGTCTAGTTATATGAATTAAGGGGATTAGATGAAGAGCATTCATGCATTAATTTTATTAATGTGATATTTGGGTGTGTGATTGTATGCCACTTAATTTAGTTATATCAATTTACCGTGAAAAAGTTTATGTCCCTACTGAGCTGTGGTTTTGCTCACACCCCAACAGATTTTGCAAGTACT